TATTTACATTTGGTGCATGTTTTTCTAAAAATATGATTTACCAAACAAATTATACAGGACTCAAATCCTGGGCAGAGCAATGTTCCTGAAAGCACATAATACAGGATGTCATGTGTGTCCAACAACATTCCCTTCCACATGATACCAGTTCATAACTACTGCCTGCCCTCTATCATCTCCACAAACCAACAGTCTCCATTCAAATGTGTCTTTTGGCTAAATAATTAGCAATGAAATTAATCCCTATAAGAATAGTAAAATGGCTCAGGAGGAAAACTACAAGACCTACTGCAGAGGATAACTCAATTTCACACTTCATGTGTACATTTCAATATAGAGAAAATCAAGGAAAAAATGTCATAGCTTTGATGAGATGTCTGATTTGCTGGGTTCATGTCTAAGTACTCTCCTCCTCACCTCCTCCCTTTGTATCCATCACTTTTTTCTTCCAAAACTTTCCTCTCCTGGAGATACTGTATCAAGAATTCAGGTGCCCTCCTATCCCTTTCCCCAAGTGTCTATTCATGCCAGAGTATGAGTATGAGTGTTGGCAATTGTTAAACTCTGGGGATCATAGCAGCTGAGCTCAATGCCAAAATAGGCACCCTCTCCCCTCCCTTCCTGAAGCTTCTCTGGAGAAAACCGCCAGCCTCAGACTACATCAGAGCCAGTTCCTCTGAGTCATCCTGGAGCATCACTACACATTAATTCCATTATTCGTTGACTAGAAAAACACTTGAGTTTGAATCTAACCAAAACGGATTGGATAGGAGCTTCCTCTCTGCTGGCTTTAAGGGTCCAATATTGAATGAGTTTAGAGGCAACTGGCCAAGTTCCTAACAGCAAACTGCAATAAGGCAGAAATGCCCAAATTGGTCATCAATTTGTCATCTCAGTCAGAGGGACCATCACCGCGTCTGGTGTCGGAATGAGAAAACCCTTCACACTGGGAGTGTGAGGAGTCTTTCCGATTCTGGGGTTAAGGCACAGTGTGGTGATGAGAGCATTAAGGCTCTCAGACTCTCATGTGGTGGTAAATTACTTCACTTACCACCACACAGAAATGCTACAATTTCCAAATAGCCTAATGTTCAATCAGATGCCCAAATAAAAGTAATTCGCCGTTATTCAAGCCTTCTGCTTGACAAGGCACTTCATGTATGTTAATGTATGTTTATGAATGCTCATGAGAATGCAATATCATAAGCTATGGCCGCAGAGCATTAATGCCGCCCGATGGAGTAGACAAAGATAGTCACATTTGGAAGATGAAATGTTTATTTTAATTAAACATTTCATACAATAATAATGATATTGTCTGGACAACAGCATGCAGGGATCATGCCATCAATAAAACATTTCAGATTCAAATGTACCACAGGAATTCTGAAAAAGCGTCTACTAAATTTTAAAAAAGTGAAGAAATGATTAATTTAAATGCCAAAGACATCCAAAGGACAAAGCAGAGGTTGAGTCTAACTAAGTAAAGATTTAGGTAACAAAAGGAAATGAAAACGAAATGATTCAAGTCAATCCGTGAGGGAGAGCCAGCATCCATTTCCAGACACCAAGCAGTCTGGGACAATAAAATCCACGTATTTTCTCCTTACCAAGTTCATTCAAAATAGGTGGGGGAGCATTGTATACAATAATTAACTCACGCAACATGCTAATAACACACTGTAAAGTATCTAATAAACATGCAATACATTAAGTAGTTCGCAGTCTCACTTGACATGAATGCCATCAAGCAATCTTTCTTCATTTTCATTGCACGTGCACCTCCACGCAATAAATTGCCCAGGTTCTTTCTTGTCTTCATGGAGGACTTGTATCCCATCCCTGAACCCATTACCTTGTCAGAAGCCATTGCCAAGAAATATAAAGATGAAAAACCTCTAATAAAAAAAAGGAACCTATAATAAATAAAATGCCATCTGATCTGATCTCCTTTGGTGTAAGATTAATGGACACCTATCTCCAGCATCCAGGAACCTAATGGGAGAGGCTGGAATGACAGAGTCCATCAAACATGTCCATGACTACTGCACAATCTGGGAACACCCAGATGCAGGTGGATATGACAAGATTACGTAATATCATACAACTTGTCTAGCTACAGCTGGTAGAGCAACATGCAGTCTGCTCTCTGCACCACTTGTCATATCAGTAACTCCTCTTCCACTTGACTTAGGGATGGAGATATTTATTTACGTTCCTTTATGATGTCCTCTTTCTGCTGGAATTCGGGAGCCAGCATTCCCTTCCCTGTCCACTCTGTCACCATTCACAATAACTCCCCACAGGACATACATCAATGCAGATTCCTCTTGGATCTCATCAGTCAAATTTCACACACCTACGACGGAAAATAACCACATTAGCTCATGACCATAGACAACCATAGAAATCAATTGCGTAAGAATGCTACTTTATCCAAATAACGCTACAATTACTACAGTATTGCAGTCATATTTCTGCAAATTGTCATGTTTAAGCGATTCACATAAATTGTACTGAAGGTAATTGCAATAATTCTAAATTCATTGTTAATTTGTTTACCTGTAATATTCTCCAATAGAAATAAAAATATTCAATTTCTTCATTGTGGCCTCTCCTTCTGCCTTCCATGTTGGTCCTGATTGAGTCCACTTCATATGAACATGTGGCCTTTGCTGAAAAGCTCTGAAGTTGGTGCTCTTATCCTGCAGATGCTACATTCACAGATTTGAATTTCCACAGTACTGTTGCTCAACAGAATACTGTAGTATTGTGTGTGTTGCACTGATGCTCTGGGATGCTACCCATGTGAAGGGTGCTATATAAATGCAAGTTGTTGTTATTATGGTATACAGCACAATGTGTGGATCCAGACAAAGCTCTACTCCAAGTCAGCACTGCCCAGATTACAGACACAGTAAAGCTCCCTCCATACTGTTGCATCCAGCTATCCCAGTCATCTTATCTCAATTATCTGGAAAGATCTTTTGTAATGGATCTCTTTCTTAAAAATAAATGTGTTTAATGGGCTGAATATTTATCTCTGTTGCTTTGATTCCATTAAGCATTCTGGGACCCTACCCTGCGCGAGTGGTGTTATATAAAGCCAGTTTTTGTTGTTGCATTTTGACTATGGAGATTCTGCCAGTGTTGATAAATTCAGGGTTAGACGCAGAGTAAAGTTTGTTGTACACCGACCCCAATAATATGCCTCGGCCTCACAATTTTTACCTTCCTATTTTGGTGATAATTCCATTCTATCACCATTCTATCATAGCATTTCCGAATGTGGTTACCAAATCAGTGTTAATGTGTGACAAACTGTAGCAGAGATTTTGTAACAATTGATTGAAACAACTCCCAACGCATTTTATAAGACAACACAGCCAACACAGTCGGAATCCTTTCACCTCAGCATTCTGAGCCGGATTCAGTGATTTACTAATTTCATCACGATGAATGCTCCATATGATATTCATCTCAAAGTGCTTCACAATGGTATCAATGGTATGGATTTGTAGGCCAGTGTGGCAGTCATTTTGCGTGTAGCATTGCCCTGCAGCCAGCAGTGACTTGGTTGGACAGATCGGTCATTGGCGGGACAGAGCTTCTTCTCTCTTCGCTGCTATTAACCCTGCAAGCCAAATCCAAATAGCTAGCTGACAAGCAGTGGGAAGCTTACCGAACAGTATAAATGGCAAACTATGCAGGATTAGCTGGGTGAAACAGGTGTACCACATTGCACACTCTTGGCGCTCACTAGCTGTGTCTAATACCCTCTGAAATTAGAGAAGCAAGAACAATAAATTACATCTGTATGGCACTTTTCACATCAGGAGGATGTCCCAAAGCAGGGTGTGTTCTTCCAGTGAGAGAATCAATTCCTGACACACAGAGATTTCCATATATAGATGGCATTCATATATGGAATCCTGTCCGATTTGGATAGTCTTAAGCACGGTGGTGGAGGTTTATCATGTGTCAGATACCCAGCTGATCAGTTTTGAGATGAATGACCCATTTTAATCTAGAGGATTTTTGGCCGGGACACCAAAAGACCAAACAGCACATCAATGGAGCCTAATACTTCATACCAAAACTGACTGGCATTTCTTTATAATTACTGAATTGGTGGTGCAGTGGATTGGTGTTTCTGCCCTCACCAACACAACAGGTACAATTTACAGAAGCCACAAATGAACCATATAAGAACAGGGTATTTTGGGAGGGCAGGAGAGTAATGGGCATCACATGCAGGTAAAACACTACAAATGTCTGGAAAAAGTCCAAAAAAATGAAAATAATTATGCATCTCAACAACTATAAATATTTATTGGAAACAACACGCAGACATGCAATGCACTCTCGGTAAAGTCAACACGTTCAAGAGAAAAGAACTGTTAAAACTCCTGCTAATTGTTTTGGACGCAGTTTACAGTGATAACGGTGTCGGCACACGGAAGCAGCGGAAAATGAGTGGAATGTGACATACCCCTTTAAGAGCATTCCCTAATAATCATTTCAGTGCTTCACACCCTTCCTTCCATGGAGAGAGGAGCAACATACTAACGCCAGATTAGGGAGCTGTCAAAATGAACTCAATACTAAATGGCAGCAACACAGAGATCCTGTTCTCTGAGCTTTCCACGTTGTTCATACCGTTTATCACAGAAGAACTATAGGTAGGAGCTGAAGGAGCCATACTGTGTTGGACTCGAATGAAATTGTAATTAGTAGCATAGCCGCATAATGTTCACTTCCAGCTGCTTCGGTCATTGTAAATCATTATGGGGGTAGTTGGCGGTGGGGAGGGGGTGGGAAAGAGAATAGACGCAGTAAGATCCCAGATTTTTCCCTCTGTAAAGTTTGCCTCTTCGGCTAATTCAGCAGAGTATGTTTGCTGATTTTAATTATGACAGGACAGCCATTTCCAAACCGAGGAGAGTTACAATAATAACACTTGCATTTGGTATAGGGCTTTATCATGTCTTCAAGACGTCTCAATGCTCTTCACAGAAAATACTTTTCAGGTGATTTGGGGGGAGGGGGAAGACCTAATGCAAAAGCAAATAACTCCTGTATTCAACATTATCCTTGTATTTGTACTAATGTACTTAATGTCTGCCATTCTGTCTTTCCCTGCTGCTCTGATTCAATCCAATAGCATATGATTCAATCCAATATTTCAGCTCCGAGGCTCTCAGCATTCAATGTTCTTCAAACTGAGCCTCTGCTCTTTGCCAGTATTAAGTTGTCAAGTAAAACATTCATTAGAGAGGCCTTCTGGTTCAGAGTTCTGTTGCAAAAGCAACAAACACTTCATCCCAGCAAGAAACATCTCTGTGAGCAAGCAATATTCAGCTTAATTATTATATTTAGGAACATTGTATTTATGCCAGTAAATGTTCTACACAAGAGTCTGGCTTTACTTTAAACACCAACCTCCCAATGCAGGGCAAAAGTCAACTATGTAGATCAAATGAATAAACTGCTTCAGAGATATACTGTAGTGTTCCCTTTTGAAGATTTGGGTTATTCTATTCTAGCCTTTTTAGTAAAAATAAAAGGTTGTGATGCCATCTGCCCAGACTTTTATTGATATTCCTTTCTGGTTTGGACAGGAAATTCTGTCACTGAACTCTCTTGATGGTTATAAATAAAGTATATTTATACAATACCAATACGTCAAAAGAAAACGATTCAGTTTCTTTTTTACATAGTCTTTGGTTGAATAGTTTCCATGCTAGACAGAAGGTTTGTTCAATCAGACTTGCTCCAATCAGAGATGTGGTAGTTTGAGGCCAACAATATCAACCCAACCATCAAAAAGGTGAACAAGTTTGTTCAGCCAGCAGATCTGATCAAACTAGAGACAAATTTAAAACCAGTTGCTTCTATACATTAATTACCAAAAGAGTCATGTGCCTAATCACCAAGCCATTCTGCCCATGTAACCATGATAACTGTAAGTAACCATTAGCCTTTGACACAACGCAATCCAATGATGATGACCTCCTCCCCCCACCCACCTGTCCTGTCTCCATACTCACTTGTCACCCTTCAGTATCTTGCCCCAAAATGGCCAGTTACTGATGGGGGAAAAACAGCTGAGCCCTACTTGCCCTCACCAGCACTGACATACCCGTATCTGAGGCCAATTGTAGCTGCTGTATTGTGGCCATAGTACAAGGGAGCTGTAGGCCAATTGGAGCACCCACAATACGCTAATAAACTCACAGACCACTGTCAAATGAGCACAGGCTAGGGATTGAGCCAAGGACAGTTCTGGTCTCTGGGAATATACATACACCTTTGATAGGATGTATTTTAGTTAAATGTTCCTAACATTTGAAATCTCTTCTGAGCAAAACCATGGAAATGCAACAAACCAGTGCAGGAATATATGTGATCAGATCCCATGTTCCTCTCTCCCTTACCACACATTCAACTGTAACATTACCACACTCTGAATTCTAACAATCTCCAGTTTTAAGCAATTTGACCTGTACTCTTAACTTTTTCATGGTCAATTTAAGGATGCCCTGGGATAGTCACTCACACCACATGACAACACAAAACAGTCCTGATAGTCCTGGATTGTGCTACAGCGGAGCTGTGCGCCAGTTGTGTGTGAATTTTGCCTTGAATTACTCCTTTAAAGAGGCACCGTCTTCTTGCAAAAGTCTTTGGCAAACCTTTTTTTGTTTGCTTGCAAACGCACAGCGAAATGATGTAAATCATGCAGAAACATACAATTCCATCAGTGCGACAAAAACGGATGCAATTACAATTATTGTTAGCATCTCCCTCCCTCTCACCCAGAAAAAAGAGAGGTTTGCCAAATCCTTTTTTTACATTAAAGAAAAAGAGGCGATGCCCCTTTGCTAAGCAAACAGAGCGAAAATTAAAAATTCTAAATAAGCTGCATATTGCCTTTAATGTGACAAACTATATTTAAGAAATCGCATCCCAGATTCAAGCCCATGAGTAAGACAGGCAACTCCTTATTCTGTTGAGTAATCTAGCTCATCATTTGCTATCAGCGCCTCTGATCTTTGGACATACTTCCCTTTACTCTTCGGCTTATTGTTGTAGGTCCTGTGGTTGCCCACAATGTCTGGCATTGTCTGCTTGGTGCTTTGCCCCCTGTCATCGGAGGAGGACCAATCCTGATATTGGCCTCCACCACCACCACCACTATCGCCTCCTTCTCTTTCTTCACACTGATAGTCGTCATCCACTGTGAGGCTGTCTTCCATTCCGAACCCATCATCTACATCATAGCGCTGATACGTGCTCTGGCGGAGAGCGTCCTCCCGCGCTCCAATCTCCAAGGAGCTATTCCACATTCCATACCCAAAATAAATAAGCATACCTGGTGACAAAACAATGGCACAGTCAGTAATTGCTCTGGGATATTACCCTGCATGAGGGGTAGTAAATCCAAGTTGTTGTTGTAGTAATGCGTAGTAATGTTCCCTCCGTTCAGTGGGCTCCAGCCTGCTTCATGTCCCCCGACTATTGGCGGGCGGGCCTTCCACCAAACTGGCCCCATCCCCTGAAACTCCATCCCGCAATCCCTCTGCCTCACCCCCTCCCTTGCCACCTTCAAGACCCATATCAAGGCCCTTCTCTTCGACCGTGCTTTCGATCTCCCTGCTTCCCCCCACTGCCGTCCAGCCTCCCCGACCCCAAACCCCAGCTGGGGTCCATAACTCTGTTTGTCCAGCGCCTTGGGATGTCCTCCCAACGTAAAAGGTGCTTAACAAATGTAATTTTGTTGTGGTTGTTGTTGTAATGTGACTGCCTCAGCTGGCCAAATCTTTGGGACATTTTCTTTAATAGAACCAATGTGCATAAAACCCATTTGTAAATCAGGCTTCACCGACTAGAGATGCCCCAATATGTACTGTTTTTCATAGCTGTAAAATGTCCTGGCTAAAATTTGCAAACGCATAGCGAAATGCATTTCTCCCAATGTCATGGCTAATACTTGCCCAGTTACAACTGGTCATTCACTTCATGGTTGCTTGTGGGACACTACAGTGGCCAAATTGGCATTGTGTTCACTTACAAAAAGGAAAATGATGATGAAAGGTTGTGGGAGGAAGGTCAGGAGGGTGGAGTAAACAGATAGCTTTTGCACAGAGTCGATCAAGCACAACTGGCCAAATGACCTTCTTCCATGATGAAACATTCAAAGGCATTGGACTTCAAAGCTCTTTCGACCAGTTATAAACCATTATAAACCACGGCTCTAATCCAGACTTACCCACAAAGCACCACACCGTAAAGCGAATCCAGGTGATGGTGGACAGCTTCAGCATGAGGTACATATTGACTAACATGGCGAATGCGGGCACGAATGGGACACAGGGCGCCATGTATGGCAGCTTCTTGGGATTCTCTGGCTGTTGGAGTATCACAAAGACCAGAGCACAGATCAGCAGCAACATCAGGACCACCAGGATGATGGCCCACCAGCTCTGCTCATACACATAATCCGCCCCGAAGATAATGAAGGAACAGAAGACTAACATCAACACGAAGAGCAGCATCACGCATGTGGTGACGACATGGCCGGTTGCAACGGTCGGACGGTCCATCTTGCTGGGAAGGCCAAGCCGGATCCTCATTGTGTAGTATCGAGGTCCAATTAATTTCTTCAGCTTGATCAAGTAAATATTCTCAGACTCGTCTGCTTCTATGCCGCTCGTCATGTCAACAGTGCCGTAGTTTGGGTGATTCACGCCGTACATTGTCTTGTCTGATTTCCCGATGAGCATCTCATTATCCCCCAGGGATGGGAGGTTCTTGGCCCCGCATGTGTTTTTCCCTGTGCTGGTGTACTCGTCGCCTTCGCTCAGTGGGGAGCTCGCCTCCTTCTCGCACTCGGCCAACACTCCTTCCTTCTTCTTGGTGCCTTCCTCCGACAGGAATTTGACGAATCCATCGATGTCGGTCTCAGGCTGGTACCGTAGCAGCAGAACACAGACCGAGACCAGAGTGTAGGCCAACAGTGTGCCGATGGACATCATTTCGATCAGATCCCGCAGGCTGACCAGCAGAGCAAGGATCCCTGCCAGGAACCCGGATACAACGCAGGCCACGATGGGTGTCTCTGTGTAGGAACTCACATGGGAAAGGAACCTGAAGGGGCCAAAGCACAATTAGGTCATGAATGTACAGTCAGAGGCTAAAAGTCATTGCTGCCTATGATACTGTGTCAAGGACGTCGAAGGTGCTCAAGGCATTTCATAGGTGATTACTGTCAAGTGCAGTGATTGTGTTTGTAAGCAAATCTAGCGGCCACAACACTTAACTGTCATAAAGTGACTGAATAATTTATCTGGAGGACAGTTAGATTTTATCCCTTCTCTTCTTCAATAGTGGAACAAAACCATTCATGTCCACATTAACTGACAAACAAGCCCCTTCCAGGTCCAGCCGATGAGCCAGGCTGGCTGTACTGTCAACAGCAGTGCCCTGGAGTTCGGCGGCCCTGTCTGGCTCAGGAACCAGACTTGTGACCGCCACAGAGGGCTGGCTCGATTCCGAGATTTGATTGCCAGCAAAACCCAAGCCAAGCCCTTGATTTAACTCATCCGATGGACAGCACCTCTGACAATGCAGTGTCCCACCAGCTCAGCACAGTAATGACACCCTGGACTGTGAGCTCAAGTGCTGATGCGGAACGTGAACACACAAACTTTGGACACAGAATGCTACCAACTGAGTCTGGCTGGTCATATGCTGTTAGCAGATAGCCCGATGGGACACAGATTGCCATCTTGAACTGCACCTTTTCACAAATTAAAACCAGCAGCCCACCTAAAGGTAAGCATCTTCCTTGGTTACTCTACAGCTCTTGGCTGCCAGTTATTGTTCATCCACACTTCACCCCATGCTACTCACCATTCCTAGTAAAAAAAAAATTTGCATAAATTTCGACAGCTGCTACCTGGCTTGTTTATCCAATTCTCCTACATATAAAACCCAGTTACCTTTTCATGGGATTTTCTACTTGCACTCTCGCATATAGAATCAATCCATCTCCTCTATTCCTCAACATCATTGAGAATGTCATCATTTAGTATATACTTCTCTTTATTAACATTAAACTGTACCAGCTATTTCTCTGGCCAAAGATATAGATAAAATGCCAGTGGCAAACTTGCTACAATATCTGGCTTTTGTTCCTTGAGAGCTCTAGCACCCTTTATTTTGCAGCATCGACATTGAAAGACTAAAGGTGTGAATACAGTAACAATACCCACCTGAAGAGGAGACCATCATCGGCCATTGCGTAAATGACCCTTGGCATTGGGAAGAGGGAGCCCAGTAAGCTGACCGTCAAGCCTGACACTGAACCAATAGCAACAATATACTTGGCAGCGTGAAACCCGTGCAGCACAAACATCTCCATCAGTGGTGACTCCGTGTCGATGGCGTAGGAAGGCACCATCAGGCTCAAGATGATACTGACCTGTGAGTAGAGGAGAATACGGTTACTGCAATAGAAATAACAATTGGAGGAACTGCCAACCTGCGTTGGTGATAATTATCAAGACACCTGCTCACCTTCTCTTTTATCCTGTAGAAGGGTAATGCAGTGTTACATTCTGCCCGGGAATCGAACCCAGGTCCTCTCCCTTGTGAGGCTAGTTCTCTAATCACTAAGCTACAGGACTTCTCATGTTCTCTGCTGGCAGCTGGCTCTATTCAGTGGGACCCAGACACAAGCAGAATAAAACCCGAGGCTACAGCTAGTTTTCAGAATTCTTCCACTTAATGATGAAGAAACGGACCGCTGGAAAGGCCATCATTAGAAATCACTTAGAAAACCCAAACCAGCTTTAATTACCCGACAGCTCCAATCTTTACCAGGTCCATCATGTTAAATGAGGCATCCTTGGGAAAAATTGTGTGTCTGAAAGAAGTCAGGAGCTGATCTCTGCCCACAGCAGAATCACCCGGTTCCCTAGACCGTGAGAGTCTCAGCTTCCAACGCAGCCGAGCGGAGATTCTGTCAAACCTGCTCACGGGCTGAGCTGACCACGTGGGGAAGAGCTATCCATGCAGTGAGATTTTATTTAATTTTTTAAAAAAATAAACATTGAGAAATGTTCCATGAATTGTTTTTGAAAGGAAATTAATAATAAATAATAATCCTTGCACTTGATACAGCGCTTTATCACATCATTGAGACGACTCAAAGCGCTTCACGAAATATACTATAAAGTGGATTGACTGTATATTTTGTGGGCAAAACACAGCAGCCAATTGGACACAGTCGTGAATTGAGTGACTAAATTATTATTAATATTCTAAAAAATATATTTTTTAAGGGATTATTATCCCCGTAAAGCGATCTCCAATCAACTAATAACCGGTTCCTAATTACTGTTAGCTAAACAGAGATGCAAGGAGTAAGGAAACTTGCCTGGAAATCCTCTTGCTTGCAAAGCGAGTGCTCTAATCACTATGCTACAGGACTCCAAAATTAGATAGTCGCTTGAAAGAGAGGAATATTGAAGGGTGTGGGGAGAGGGAGCGAGAGAGTGGAATTGGACTGAGTGGCTCATATGGATTGTATAACGATTCTATACTATATAATTGTCTCTGATTGTATACAATTCTACAATTCAGTCTACAATTCAGTTCACAAGCCTCACAGTGAAATTTTATGTTAACACATTTCTGTGTCTTTGCCTGGGGGGAGCATCATTCCACCAATCTCCCTTTATATCCCCCAACCAACAGTACCTAGAGGGCTTACTGGACAGATCTTTCACTTACAGACACGTATGCAGTCAGGCAGATAACGAGGGAGGCAGTGATGGCATAAGGGATGGATGTGTCGGGGCTCTTGGCCTCCTCCCCAGTTGTTGCGATTATATCGAACCCAATGAAGGCGTAAAAGCAGGTGGCTGCCCCTTGTAGCACCTGGAATCAGAGGCCAAAACAGAAGACAAAAGTTTGCCAAAGGAAATGTTAGAGATATTAGCTTTGATTTTAGCCCAGGCAAAGGTTTTCAAGGCTTGTGATGTGCATTTATAATAATAGTAGTAATGTCACATCAGGAAGATATCTCAAAGTTTGCTTCACTGGATTTACTGGAAAATGGAGTGATGGTGTATATTTGAAGGCAGATGTGCCAGCTAAACTGTGCACAGCTACATCCCATAAACACCCAGGAAGTGAAATGACCAATTTTATGCTGGTGATTGTTGGCCAGGACACCAGGAGAGAGAAACTCCCCTCTCTTTTTTGAGTGAAGCAATGGGATCTTGGGACTTCGGTTTATTATCTTATCTAAAGGACAACACTTCTGACAATGCAGTGCTCCCCCAGCACTACAATGGTGAGTCAGCTTAGTTCAAAGTCCTGACTTAGAGCATGAACCCACAACTTTCTGACTCACACTAGCATGTTACCAGCTGAGCCAGGCTGATACATTATGAGTGAACCGTCTGCTCAGTCTGTGTGATCAGAGGAGCAGAGCAACACGTACAGCTCTCTCTCTCTCTCAACACGTACATCAAGAAATGGGCTTTTTGGTTCCCTTCCAACCAATAATCTAAAGTAGCCATTTACTGTAATGTATTCATTAAACACTGGTGAACTACAATTGAATGGATGAACTTGGCTGTTGTGCCAGTTATGCACTTACAGTGATCCATAAATGCAACAAACCATTTACTGTACAGACAAACCGTATATCAGGGTAGAAAGAGTGTCGGCTAGTCTGAAACTATCTTCTTCATGTCAATCATGAGGATGAGATGGGCTGCATTATTCCACTTGTGAGTTTGACGTACTGGTTACATCTGTCTGATTATCACAGGGACATTCTCTGCTGTAAGAAGCCAGCCACTGCCTCACTCTGCACAACAGGAGTCAAGGAGCCTCTGTGAACAATTTGACTCATAGAATGTGACATAACCAATATACTCCATCTCTTCCCAACCAGAAAAGATCCCCTTGCACTATATCCCTTCTTAAGGGAGGCCGCACAAACCAGTTCCAAGAATTATCTCTGGTAATTATCATCCTCAGTGAACCAGCTGCTCAAATACTGTATATAAAAATCTTATCATATTAAACTGAGGAATTATCTATTTGCTGTGTCACAGAATTGAGGCTGCATCTCTCTCCCTCACCTAGTCTTGTCCTTTTCCCACACACATCCCCAACGCCCCTTGAATATTAACTTCCAACTTGGTCTTCAGTCAGTTAGCGTGTCCAGGAAAGGGAAAACTATTGTGATTGCAAACAATAATAATAAATCTTGCATTTAATATAGCGCCTTACTACGTCTTCAAGAAGCCTCAAAGCACTTCAGAGTATATTGTAAAGTTAATTTACTATATTTTAGTGGGCAAACCACAGTAGCCAATTGAGCACAGCAGTGTCCCACAAACAGTTGTAGATTTGAGTACCAAATTATTATTTGTTTATTCTTGTTTTTAAGGGATTATGACCCACAGAAAAGCGATCCGCAAATCAACTAACAACTAGGTTCCTACTTACTGCTAGGTAAAGGGAGACATGTGCAGTAAGGAAACTTGCCTAACGTTTCTCCCTGCTTGGGAATCAAACCTAGGTCCTTTTGCTTGTGGGGCGAGTGCTCTAACCAATATGCTGCAGGACGCCATGCAAATAAATTTTCTTTTAGTCACACGCTGCCTGTGGGTATTACTCACTCCAGACCATCCGAACGGCAAGAACTTGCCCCCTTCCCAGTTGGCAGCATTGATGAAGAAGAGCCCCGCGATCATGATGAAGACCCAGACTGCCAGGTTGATGATGTTCAGGACGTTGTTCATTCCGACAGAGTTCTTCACCCCCAGGGAGACCACGGCGGTCACAATCACAGCAATAACCAGCGCCACCATGTCGGGATAGGATTGTTCTCCTTTCCCTGTAAAATCAAATTAGATACAGTTAGCAGAGGTAAGCAAACCTTACTTCATGTTCCTTTAAGCGCACTGGGGCACTACCCTGCGTAAGAGACACTATAGATTGTTGTTGTTGTTGTTCACACTGACCCAACCATCTCGTTATCTCCTTATCTTCCATAAGGAAGATTGTATGGCAGTAGAGACAATTGTCTAACATGTCCACAACTGTTTGTGGGACTCTGCTGTGTGCAATTGGCTGCCGGGTTTCACCCACAAAATATACAGTCAATTCACGTTACAGTATATTCTGTGAAAACGTCTCGAAGATGTGATAAGGTGCTGTATCAAATGCAAGAATTATTATTATTATGTAGGATAAAAGTCAATTTATTAAAATCGTCTTCTGGAAGCTGAGTGCTCGAGGTTAGACACTGTTCTTTCACCTCTGGAAACCAAAGAACATAATGGAAGTCTCTCTCCTCTCTCTCTGCCTTTTCCTAATTGTTGGCCATCACATGCCTCTAATCGTAGTGTGACATTATCATCCCCTCTCAAGCCTGGCCCATGTGAGGTTACACTATGGGTTTAGGGAGCACTGCGTATCGACTGTGCTGTGTGAGCAAAATATCGTGACTTTGTTTGTTTCTCATAGTAATTATTCATAAATTTACAAATACTAGAGGAAATAATGGCAGTTGTTAAACTTGAGGCTGGAGGCCAGAATTCCTGGTAAAATTTACCATCTGTTTTTTGTCGTTCCACAGCAGAATCTGGAAGATCTACAGGAAAATCTCCTAAGTAAATGTAATAATTTAGTAAACCTTTACACCTCAACTTGTGACTGATGCCTTCCCAACCTTGCAATCATCTTTGCCTACTGCCCATCACCTGTAGAGCACGGTGAGGAGCGTGCATGTTTCTCTTGCCCACTGCAGCCTCAGTCTATTCCCTTTGTTAGGTAAGTCATTAAAAACCAGATGGTTAGCGTTAGCCTGAGATGGGAAACCAGATTAAACCCACTGCAAATCGGTTCTAGTCATGCAAACGTGTGAAATTTTCTGTTTCACACTGCCATCTGCCCTGTTCTCTCTGAGCTTGCGTGGACACCTCACGTTGCTGCCATACAGATCGGCAGAATCAGGCCTCTTTACATAGGAACATAAGAATTTGCTAGAAGAAGATCAAGTTTGCCTTCCACCATCCTGGCAGTCGCTTGCACATGTTGTGTCCCACACTATATACTGTACCCCAAGACATTATTTCCTAACAAAAATCTATTTAATTTGTTCTTAAAAGAATCAATACTTTCTGCTTCCGTAGTCTCCCTAGTTCTGTTTGTTCTGCTGTAAGCAAGCTGAGAAGAGGTCTGTAACTAGCTAGCCTCAGTGTCCCCGGGCTAGGGAAGGGGAAATATCAGGGCTCTCAGTTTTAATTGGAATACTTATAATACAATACACTACATATTTATATTTATTTACACAGCACCTTTCACGGTCCAAGGCACTTAACAATGCTGGCTGGGCACCCGAGCTGTGGGTAGTGGTAGGTGTGGGGGTGTGGGGAAGGAAGAGATGACCAAAAGCACGATCAAAGAGGTCGATCTTGAGATAGGCCTTGAATGAGGTGAGGGAAGGAGCGAGTCAGAGGGACTCAGGGAAGGAGTTCTAGAGAGCAGGGAAAAGACTCTGATGTATGACTCTGAAGGGGAGGTGAGAAGACATTTTTTCAAGCAGCGAGTTGTTCGAATCTGAAACACATCTGAAAGGGCGGTCGAGGCCGATTCAATAATAGCTTTTAAAAACGCGGTGGATGGGTATTTGAGGTGGACGGGTTTGCAGATTTATGGGGAAAGGACTGGGGAGCGGGATTGACATTACATTGCTTTTTTCAAAGAGCCGGCACAGACTCGATGGGCCGAATGGCCTCTTTTTGCGCTGTACAATTCTATGATTCTATGTGATGTGCAGGATTAGGGGACAGACAAAGTGATGGTGTTTAATCCTTGTGGACTGCAATGACCTAGTCCATTTAAAGTGCCCACGTTGTCCACGATCCAGTGGCTGATGGTGTGATTGGCCAGGGAGTCGAACATGCTGCTCAGAGCGCTGGCTCCAGCCGCCGTGCCGATCAGATACTCCAGGATCAGGTTCCAGCCTATGAAAAAGGCCACAAACTCCCCGACCGTCACGTAACTGTAGGTGTAGGCGGAGCCAGTGGTCTTCGGGACTCGCACTCCAAACTCTGCATAGCAGACACCTGGGAGTTCAAAACACAGACAGGTAAACACAGAGACAACTGCAGGAGCACATCCTAACCATAACACCACCTCACAGCATTGAATGCAGTTACAAGACCATCAGAATGTCTCTCCCAGTGACCTGGCCAACACTCCAGAGAAACTGGTCATTCATTTTCTTGTCAGCCTAGCTCAGTGGTAATACTCTCGCCTCTGAGTCAAAAGCTTGTGGGTTCAAGACCCAATGTCTGGACTTGGAATCATATAGTCTATGATGATGCTCCAATGCAACGTTGGGGGCTTGTTACATTGTCGGAGGTGCCGTCCTTCTTTTGAGATGTTAAAATAAATCTGCTCATTAAGTCGTCGTTAAAAATCTCATGGCACTATTCAAAAAGAGAAGGTAGTTTCCCTCTGCCATTGTTCCGGCCAACACTGCCCCAAATAAATTTGGTCACTCTCTCAATGGCTGTGCGCAAACTGGCTGCAGTATTTCCTCCACAAAATACACAGTGAATGCACGTTACAGTACATCTTGTGAACCGCTTTGAGACGTTTCGACGACATGATAAGGCGCTATATCAAATTGCAAGGATTATTATTATTATTTCTAGCTCTTTCCATGTATCACACAATGTTGGCTTAATATCCTGTTGCAGTCATTGCAACCCTCTGCTGAATGAGGACAAATATTAATAACCAATTGTGTGAGATTTCATATCTTTAGATTGGAAGGTGTGAGGTGTGTGGAGGAGATGCTGTTGTGGAGATTGAGTCCTTCCCTTGTTAATTAGCCTCAGAAAAAAGCAGTCAGTGCAAACATCAGTATATTATCCTAGTCCACGTCCTCACATGATTTTTCTGTCACTCCCCATGGTTGAAAGACTTTTAGCTTGTTGCAAAAATAGCAGACAATTCAAAAATTACCACAATCAGCACATTGGAGATAGTTTCTGTGATTGTGGTGCAGAGAGTTACAAACTCAGTGCAAGTGCTCTCTCACACAACAGTCATATCACTGAACTGAAACCCTGTTATTGACCGCTCTTCCTTATTGTTACATCCCAGTATCAGGGAAATGAATCTACTGCAATGTTTTACCAGGTACCCATGTGGAGTGAGCACCAGCACAGATACAATGGGGAGAGAACAGGGAATGGGATTAATGTACAACAACAACTTGCATTTATATAGCATCCTTCACACAGGGTAGCGTCTCCGAGCACTTGACAGTGGCGAAATCTGACCCTGAGCCAGGGGAAGAGGGAGGGGGGAGGTGACCATCAAAGCACGATCAAAAAGGAATGTCTTTAGGTGGGATTTGAAAGTGATGAGGGAGGGGGCAAGGAGGAGGAATTGAGGGAGGGAGTTCCAGAGTTTCGGGGCGTAGTAGCTGAAATGAATGGTGGAGTGCAGGAGGTGAGGGACGAACAGGAGGCCGGAGCCAGCCGAGTGGAGGTAGCGAGTGGTGGATTGGGGGGTTAAGCAAATCGGACAGGTAGGGAGACGCGAGGGCATGATGGGATTTGAAAACTAGTGAGAGGATCTTGAAGTTGATCCGTTCAGTAATTGGGAGCCAGTGCAGAGTAGAGAGCTCCAGTGGGGAAGCGAGCACCAGCACAGACACAATGAGTTGGAGAGTAGGGGAAAAGGATTAGATTTGAGAGCTCCTGTGGGGGAGCGAGTACATTGGTTTAGACGACCGACAGAAAAGAGAGTTCCCATTATCTGGTGCAACCCATGTTCAGCAAATGATGGTTAACTTTGTGTTAAAACTTCTGACTGCATTCACAGGAGAGATACCCGCCATCACCACACCCTCCCCTTTTCTCGGGGAGAGAAAGTGATGGACATGTGATGGAACGTTGTGCCTGTACCCAACAATGCATCCATCCTGTGTGTGCTGACGTCGTGCCAACATTGGACCAGTGGCCAGGAGCTGAACTGTACGCTCATGCAGAGACAAGTCATGTGTTGAGTGACGGGCAAACGGTACAAAGAGTCACATAGATTCATAGAATGTTATGGCACAGAAGGAGGCCATTCGGCCCATGGGATTCCTGACCTTCTCTTGGGCTCAAAATCTCTTCACCGTCCTTCAACGACCTTACATTTGAAGACAAAATGGTCTCAAGAATAAGACTGGGTGGAATTTCAGGCCTCAGAAAACCCCAACAGGTCACTGACATAGGTTTTCACATGGTGGCTGTAACCTCCCTGATATAACGGACAGCAACAAGAGCCCAGTTACAGAGGAGACAGCACGGGTGTAGTTTTTTCGCTGTTGTAACATTATTGTCATTTAATAAAATATAAATTTGTTTTCAAACAATCAAACTTCAGTGGTGGCAATTGTGGCCCCTCCCACACCCGACAGATAACCACACAGGTGAGAAAGGCTGAAGGCCTCACCAACTTCGTGCTCTGCCACTGTTAAGAGCTCTGGGCCGCTACCCTGTGTGAGTGGCGCTATGTAAATGCAAGTTGTTGTTGCTGTTGTTAATAAGGTATCTGTTGATGTATCACAAATTCGACCTGTCCATCCTCAGTCTCACACACAAAGCTATAGATGAAGTCTTTATAGTAATTCTATTAATGACACCCAACAAGCGTATGTAAATAGGAGACTTGATGTGGAAATAATGTCATTATCTTGGAATCTGAATGACTCAGATATTACACCCTCAAAATATACAGTCAATTTGCTTTACAGTGTATACTGTGAAGAGCTTTGAGACGTCGCAATGACGTGATAAGGCGCTGTATCAAATGCAAGGATTATTATTATTATTATTCTTACCTGATAGGATGGAGGCGACTGCTGCAATGATGAAGGAGACAATGACACCAGGGCCTGCCATCTCCTTAGCCACCAATCCCGAGACCACGTACATGCCGGTGCCCACACAGCTGCCGACTCCCAGGGATACCAGGTCCATGGTGGTGAGGACCTGAGCCAATCTGGAGTGGCCCATCCCCTTCTGGTTGGCATCGTCTAGCATGGACTCCACGGGCTTCGTGCGGAGAATCCGTGAGTGAAACGCCAGCCATTTGGAGCCCCAGTGGACCCGGCGGGGATCCATGCGGGAGAGGAATCCACTCATGGCTTCAACGATTCTGTCACTGCACGCTTAGAGTGCGGTAGGTCCGTCGGTGGGTTGCTCGGTGGGCACTGACGGTGCTGAAGGAAACACAAGGCCATTCACAGCAAGGCACTCGTTGATTTCAAACACATCTTTGTGCGTTGCCTACAAGTGGACTTCTCTCCTGGCAAGCGATGGGAACATGACTGCCTGAAACTAGAGAGAGGAAACTAAGGTTAAACTGATCTTTACGCATCAGATATTTAAAAGAATATTACAGATCCACAAACTATGATAACAATCCTTGCATTTGATAAAGCTCCTTATCACATCATTGCACTGTCTCAGAGCAGATCAGAGGAATTTCCTGTAACGTGTAGTAATTGCATATTTGTAGGCTAACACAACAGCCAATTTGTGCACAGCAATGTCCCACAGACAGCCATTTTAAACAATATGTAGTCTAGTGACTGTGTGTATTTCGAAGGCAGGTTCTATCACAGAACAATGTATTCTAGTTACAGTGCAACAATAGCACTGCATTGCCTGGGGAATGGAGTTCTCATAAGCAGTATCTTCAGGAAGTGAGGAAATAAAATAACTGACGGCATGTGAAGTGGTTGCAGAATGTTGGCTTCCTACAGTATGGGATAGCAGAATGACAGGAAGACACTGTATAGTGTGACAGTGTCAGGAAGTCTGGCTGTCAGGTATCAAATCCATCATGTTAGCAACCTTATCACATCCTCTTCCCCCCAAGCACCCCTCTTCACATACATACACACACTTCCCCACACCCCCCACTCTCTCTCTCTCTCTCTCCTGCTTCCTGTCTTGCCCCCACCAAAAAAAAATCCCAAGCTTCTGCTCATCTCTCCTGCTCAACACTTCTGCTCAGAGCTGTGTCTCAGTGACTGCTTTCTGTCAGAATAAAAGATGAAACAAAAAACCAGCTTGTGAATTATTTAGCAAGTGGCTGAATATTTTGAAAACAGATGACGTGTTTTTTTCGGAGTGAACATCTGGATTTCTGGCAGTGATTGCCTGGAGAATTTCACTTGCTCACTCACTTCTTTACCAATAAACTGATCATTAAACTGTGCCCCATCAATCAAACATACCGGGAGGCAATGCGACCCACCACCCAGACACCAACACAATCACTCAGTGAGGCTCTTCGAGAGATGTTCCATAATGATTTGTCTGCTCCCTCCACTCAGTGAGTTCCGCCCTGCTCCATGTCTCCTGCCCGCCCAACCATCGGCGGTGAAGCCTTCAGCCTTTCTACCCCCACCCTTTGGAACTCCGTCCCATAGTCCATTGCCTCGTTCCCTCCTTCAAAGCCTGTCTCAAGACCCTCCTCGGTCACCATCCTACCCCCATCCTCCCTATCCTTCACCCCTCCTGATCCCAACCCCCAGCCCGGGTCCAAATCCCTGACTGTCCAGCACCTTGAGACATCCTCCGATGTGAAAGGCGCTATACAAATGTAAGTTGCTGTTATTGTTTATTTAATCTTGCCTCCAGCCCACTCCTCTGACCAGCCTAACTCGATACAGACCAAACCTATGAGCTGCCTGCTCGGTAACTCAGTAACAGATCCTGCACTCTCCCCAGGAATCTGCTGCCCACACTCGAGCATGAAGGATACCAGCCGGGGTCTGACACCGAGGACCAGAGGCAGTGAGCCCAAAGCTGGTAGCAATGTCTTCCAAGGTCAGTGGAGCACCACATTGTCAGATATGGTGACATTCAGATGAGATGTCACAACTTGTCTCATCACACAAGCCTCTTTATGCCAGTTCTGGCATTAAAAGTTCCCACCATGCTATTAGGAACAAGAGCAGGGAGTTTCTCCCAGTGTCCTGGCTGACATTCCCCCAGCATCCAAATTTGTGGATAAGCCAAGTATTTGTCAATGGCCACTTTAGTCTTAGAGAATATCAGTAGCAGCATGATTCAAACCCAGCACCATTTGCATCGCGCTGACAGATCACCAGCTTGTCCGATCTGCCTCAATCAACATAATCTACTAAACAATTAAACTCCACTCGGTATTTGAAAAACAAAATGACCTTTATCATAAAAGAAGTACTTGGAAGAGACCCAAATAGGCACTTTCATCACAGGTTGGCTGACCTCTGAAAGGGCAGAACAAAGCAGTGGTTGAAGGAGCTTTGTCTGTCAAGTACTTACGTGATAGACCGTTCATCCCAATCAATAAGGAATTCCGCAGATTGCGTTAAATCGGTTGAGGTGCGATGCAATCAGTCAAGCTCTAGGCAACTATCCTGCAACCTTGCGTAAGTCACAAATGATATCACAAACCCGATCGAACAGTAAAATCTTATTATTGTTTCTATCAAGAGTGAGCTTCTGGCTCTGTCTAAGTGACAATCCTATTGATAAGTGGGGAAGAATCCCTACCCCCAGTGAAGAGTAGAGGTGATCAGGACTCCTCTGTCCTATTTGATAATTCTACAGTTTAGATTCCATCCCATAACTATTTCAAAGGAGAATTGGACAGATAAATGACGGGGATTGGGGGCTGCAGGGGTGAGAGACACCATGCAATGGTGTTTGGGAAAGTAGACCAGTCAATAGCTGGTGGTCTCTGCATATTTCTGTGTTCCTGCATATGGTAGAAATTCCCAGGCAATCAGAGTAGGGGGCAGAGAGATGGGAAAATCCCAGTGAGAGTTAGCAGAAGTGGGAATACCTATGGATCTTAACTGTTTGCCGATTCTCACTGCCACAATGTTATGTTTGGAAAGCTCAAGATTCTATTAGAGGCATTCTGTAGATATGGCCTATCCCAATGGCACAACAAAATGAACACTGTTCCTTTAAACACCAATAACACATGGAGGGAAGGTGGGTGGTGGGTTCCATTCTCTCTGGGATAATTGGTACTGGATTTCAGGTAATGGCACCAATGATGTTTTCCGTCCATCTTCAGACGGAATTTTTACTCCCAATTATAACCCAGCCAAGCTACTCATAAAAATATTCACGATTTTAAAATAAAATGTTGAAGGGAAACGAAACAACTACTGTATTTGAAAAGGAAAATTAGATAGGGCTGTGGGGTGGTCTGAAGAGCAAGCTGCTACACAGAGCACGATGGGCCCAATGGCCTCCTTCAATTAATTTATTGCAAGAAAGCCTACAAAACACACAGTCACTACACTTTACAATAAATCCTCTGAGGTTCTTTGTGACTTCCTCCTGATGTTAAAGGCACTATATCAAATGCAAGGATTATTATTAAAATAAATGTTTTCATGTCCAAGTGGTATACAACTGTGGAACTCTCAGCCTGGTGGTGAATTTTTGCGTGTGTCAGACACCAGCTTTTGTTGTTTCTTTTTTATTGAGTTTATATTCCCTTTTTTAAAAAATAATTGTTTTAGAATATCAATATATTTTTCCATATTTTCCCAAAGTCAGTGCCCAGCATTTCAATGCACTGTTTATCCTGTACGTGTACGTCACTCACTCAGCAATGCTGAGCACAGAGACATCAGGTGCGCACTCAATACACTGAATAATCTTTACAGAAACCCTGGGCCGTGTTTTCTCTCTGACTCGGTGTCCCAGGAGATGACAGATGGCAGAACTGGCAAATGAAACACTTCCCTTTAACAGGCAGAGTCCGCCATCAGCACCACAGATTCAGCCTCAGCATGGGTTGGACACAGAGAACAATCTCCTACAAGCAAAATGTTTTAATCCAACCAGCACGGTAACAATCTTTTGCCTATTTATATCACAGAAATGACGGCAGGTCACTGTGCAGAACATGGTGTATGAACGCAGCATAAGAGAGAAAGAGAGAGCACTGGTTTGTCAGTACAGTATACCTCAGCCTCCCACCCCTGGGTAAGAAGGTTGTGCGTTCAAGCCCCATGTGAAGACTTTCAACTCACAGTCTAGACAGACTCTCCAAATCAGAGTAGGGGAACGCCAGGTTGCTAGAGGTGCCATCTTTCAGGTGAGATGTAAAACTGAGGTGCCATCTGCTTCTTCAGGTAGACAGTAAAGATCCCATAAAACTGTTGGAAAAGGGAAGGAAGTTTCTCCCCAATGTCCTGGCTGACAATCCTCCAGGTAAAATTGACATGGCTGTTACTGCTGTGTGTAAACTGCCTGCCACGTGCGCCTACGGAAACAGTCACTACAGTTGGCTGTAGTTACTACGAAGTGCTTTGAGATGTTTTGACCTGAGAAGCTGCTATTATAATACAAGCTCTCTCTTTCCTCAAACATCTGGTGTTCAGTGGCTGCGGGCAACAGGAGTCTGCGCTGTGAAAATGCTTCACACTTTAGAGAGGCCAACTATCTGGTTTCATGCAGTGATCTCCCCTGCTGTTATTTCATGGCCATGTAACTAGAGATGATTACAATGCAGCCTTTATTTCCATGATCTCTTTAGCTGGCACGAGAAGCACAGACGTCACAGGTTAAGTCACACCGTCAATGTACAAGCTCTATTGTGTCAGTGTGCGCAAATATGAGTATGATGTGAATGTGTGTCTGTGCACATTTTAGCTGATCGTGTGTGTGTGTGGGGGTGCGGGCGGGGAGCGGTAGAGGGGCGCGGGTGACATCTGTGCGCAATGAGTAATTAACTTCCACATTGTTGAATGTTTCTGTGTTTTAAGCTTTCAACCAAATCCCCAGAATCTTGTGTGGGTGAATCAGTCCTCTGCTACCATTCACTGTCCACCTTACTAACACTGCCTTTGTTTCACGAGTGAACTAAAGGGTTGTGCATCTATCTGCATCTGTATAGCATTATGGGAAAGGTAAGGTGGGGGTAGAGGAATGTTGGGGGAATGTTTAGGTGCATATGTAGGGATGGGGGCTATCACTGGGAACAGTTTTAATGTTCCTGGCATCTAATTCAGTATTTGTATTGTCAGTATCTCAAAGCGCTTCACAGGAAATTGCTGTTAAGTGTAGTGACTGTACAATTGTAGCTAAATGCAAAGTTAATTTGCCTACAGCAAGATTCCATG